ATAGCAACTTCTAGGRTGTAACAAGCACTTACATCTTTTGATTACTTTCTGCGCTGTCAAATATCCATCCAGGAACTCGTCCTGATAGTGAGTTGTTATTCAGAAACCTACATCCACATGTAATATTCTATCTCAAATTTTACCAAAAAATCCAAACAGGTTAGGAATGTAAAATAAATTTTGCAGGTGTAACATCTAAGTAGTTGCATACATGACGTTAAAGTTTAGAGCCTGAATTGTATTAGGTATTGAACCATTCAGCCTGTTGAAGCTCAAGTCTCTGCAAAAGAAATAGTTTAGTTGAAGATTTCCTTAAGCACAAACTCGAAAGATCAATCATCTGTCTTATCATGAATAGTAGCAACTGACTTACAAGTTCTTCAAACGACGCATCTGTCCTATGTAGTCTGGTATTGGGCCAGTAAGCAAACAATTTCTCAGGCTCCTGTAGCAAAATTATACACAACACCCTTATCATGTCAACTTTCTGTACAAATTTAACTCAATATTTTCGCACTTTTTGTCACACAACTATGTTATAAACTCACAATTTAACTAATCCAGTCATATTTCGCAGATCAGGAAACGTCATACTCAACAATCCAGCTAAATCAGATATCCTCCTGACAACCATAATGCATATATAAAATGAGTTCAAGGCTCAAAGCCGTTACCACCCATTTATTGACCAAAAACTCAACAAAAATAAGTGGTGGACTAAATAATGTGCTCACAATTCGGCCATGTTTGTCAACAGAGATATTGTAGAAGGAATCGGTCCTTCCATTGATGTTCCTTGAAAGTCGTTACACAATAAATTATATATGATCAAAATTTCATAAGTTAAACTGTCGACAAGAAAGTAAGAAAATACTCACAGTTTCGTAACTCTTGTCCAGTTTCCGATAAAATCAGGTAYTCTTCCGGATAATGTACTCCCATCTATCCTACTGGAAGAAGTGTGTAAAAAATTCAATAATTTACATGTTGGGTCAAAAAAAACAAAGCAAAGATCTATATGACTTACAAATCTTCTATACTAGTCAGATTGCCAAACGAGTTCGGTATGGTTCCTGTGAAGTTATTTCCAGAAACAACGCTGCAAGGAAAACCCTTCATTGTGAACAACACAAAGATGGCAACATTATAAAAGAAGTACCAAAAGAAGAGATAATATGTCAATTCCATGGCATGAAACTGTACAAGTGAAAACATGTATCATCTTTAAAGTGCATAAAGCTTTAACTCAAATAAACAACCGACACAATCGTAGGCAGCTTATATAGGAAAACTGCCAAAACTAAATGTAAATACATTGTCTTGCTAGCTTCTCGAGTAATGCTTTGAAACTCAGACCTTAAACAACCTAAATACATGACTCATTCAACTGAAAAGCAGGACGAATGAAAGTATGTGAAGATGCTAATGTTGCAATAAATTAAGAGTAAGCTACAAAATTCTGTCTCTATGCCCAGACTCTGGGTATTGCCATTAATAACGAAAAAGTACACTAATTTTCGTGTGGTTAATACTTAATACTTGGCTCTAACGGACGTTAAGGTCATCTGTTAACTAAGGAATATTTCCATCTTTTTACTCTGTTTTCTTAAATAAATTTATCTTTGTCTAGCTCTAAGGCCCCTAACGTTAAGTCCATCAGTTAACTGCGGAAGCTAGAAGAAGATGTATTAGCGTTCTAAGGGCCCCTAATACATCTTCTTCCTCCTTATGAATGCTCACGGAATCTTCAACCCTAAATCAAGATTCAAGAACATGAACGTGCTTTCTTCTCCACTCGTTGAGAACCCACTTCAATTGCCACCACCGCCTCTGTTGGAGATTCTCCACCCACTTCTTTCTCGTTGCTTGGAGCTCCAACCACTCCCGTTCATTACCCCCTGACGTCCCTTTCCCAGCTTTAATGTGTTCGTTCTGGTTAAGTATGAACAAGCTCAGAGAGGGCAAGAGTGTGGGATCAGTTGAAATCTAGTTCCTCTAAGCGAGATTCATCTTCTCTGCTACCTCCTCTAATCTCGCACTTAAGGATTCCTCTAGTTCCTCTATTTGCATTTCATTGGGAAAAGTGGAAAACACATGGGTTGTACAAGAAACTGATAGAAACATTGTTCATGGCTCCATTTGGGGGGCCTTACACCTCTTCCAGCAACCAAAGGGATGAAAAAGGTGGCGGTGGGTTTCGTTGAGAGAGGGAAGAGAGGTGGTGAAAAAAAGATCGAAAAACAAAAGAAGTAAATAACTAAAAGTTTAAAATCAGCACCAAAAGACAGAAATTCCCTTTATTTAGTGGATGCACGTTGGGGCCAGATACTATCGGTGAAAGCAAATCAAAACATTGAGTGGCTGGTCTAATTTTTTGATAGTAATAATGACAATAACACAGACGATTTATGTAATGTACTAATAAATTAACAATCAAAAGGATAAGCATGACATCCATCATGGTATCAGAKAAAATAACCAATGGTCGTTTACCAAAAGYTTWTCGGGTAATTACTTACTRTGTGTCACTTACCTTACTGGATGAGCATGAAAATGACCAAGAATCTTACCCTTACCTGGTAAGAGGCAATTGCAAGGACCGGTAATCTTCCCCAATAAGTGAGGGAGAAGATTCTTACATGGTTAGTGCATAACAGGTAAGAGACACTTACCAACAATCCATTTTGATGGTGATTCTTACTGGTAAGCGCTTACCTGGTAGGCTTTTGGTAAACGGCCCCWAACACTTGAAGCCTAATAATTCAAACCATCATGCATAATAAACTTCAAAAAATGCAACAAGAACCTCTAACCCGTTAGTGAGTAGAGAAATAAACATAACTTTGTTAATCATCCAAAGCAGTCCATCTAGGGCCATACATTACTGTTTCGTAGCTTTGTGKTGTTAGATTAAAAGGTTGAACTTTAAAGGGTAAACGAGAGCAAGGTCACGTAATCTTACAATCTTCTCAGTCGAGCCAAACGCCCAAGGTTTCGAGGGAAAATGTGCAAATCCAAAGCTAACTCATAAGCGTTTTGAATATCCAGAACCTCCACAGTTCTTGCAGAGTATCAATCCTACAAAATCACAAGTGAATATCCAAACATCATATGCATGATACATATTCGTTTTGTGGGTTCTATGTACACAAATCTTTACATCATAATGAATAACATCAAATGGGAGTTGCCATTAAATCAATATACAGACCAGAAAGCATCTTTATTACAACAGGTAGTGATTTTTTTAAAAATGTAAACAACAAACATATGTAAACAGGTTCTGCACAATAAGTGTTAGGAGCTATACACCAAACAGTCCTAACATAAGTGTTAGGAGCTGTTTACTTGAGCTGTTTAAACAGTCCTAAAACAGTCCTACAACATAAGTAGAAACAGTGAAGGCAATTAAGCTGTTTACTTGAGCTGTTTACTTGATTTTTCTTTTATTATCTTTTTCTGTGCAATTAATGCCTATTATCTGCTGCTGATGATTGTCTGAAAGTAGTGCTATAAACTTCATTCTTTGCTGTTTTGCTTCTAATATTTTCTGTTTTACCAGCTATATAAGTAGAAACAGTGCAAGTAATAAATACAAGAATCAGAACTTTCACCGATACATGATGATTATTTGTATTCAATAACTATTACACAACCAAATTGAGAAATAACAAACCAGAACCAGAACCATTAATCCCCAAGTCATACCAATTGTAGTTGGTTGGTCCACGGTAAGGGAACAAGAACATGCTACCATATCATGTTCACAGTTGCAGACCACGAATTTTCTTGAGCGCATGCACCTTAAGGTAAAGGCCCGCAAAACCGGAGGGAAAAACCGACATGGTTTGACCCAAGGGAAAGTCAATTATGTCGATTTCAAGAATAAAACATTTTTTCAAATTGAATCAAACTTAACTTTTTGAGCCTTATGTCTGACGTGTTTTTAGCTAAATTCCACCATTACAAGGAACTTTTTTTAATTTTTTTGGCTGATTTCATAAAATTTTCCGGTTGTTAGTATTTGATATTGATTGTCCTCTGGGTTTTTTTCTAGGTTTTCAATTTCATTTCTTTATGCATCTAGAACTTCTAAGTATTAAACAGGACCTGCTGTAGGGAAGATAATAGGACCGAATAAACTCAAGAATCGTGTGTGGAACACTTTCCAAATACTATAATTTGACCCAAACAGCCTTGGATTCACGAACTCGGTATTGGAATAATTCTTAAGTTTTCCTCTCGTTTCAAAGGTTGTGAAATTGAGATTCTTATACCCAAATTCTTGTTTTTACATATTTAAACGAGAGATCGACGGCTAGAAGCGGTTAAATGGTAATATCCATTAATGGATAAGAATGGAGAGTGGTTACAACCGAATCAGAGCTCAGAGATCGAAATCTGACTCCATTAGCTGAGACTTCGTCTGATATAGATCACAAGTCTGAACAAGAAGGTTTAGATCTCTGAATCCATTAGCTCAGACTTAGGACTTACAAGTCTGAACAGCACGTCCAATGAGGACCGAATACCAAACCGAATGTACCAGTTCAGTTTCAGTATCGGGATGGGAAATTCGGTGTCAGTACCGCTTAGGGGCGAAAATTTGAAGTTAATAAAGAAACAATCAAAACTAAATCTCAAAAGTTCAACAATCACAAATGTTCAATGTATCAAAAACTAATCCCAAAAGTTCAACAATCTTGGTGATACCGATTTCTTGATTGACAAAACCGTGGGAGGGGGGGGGGGGTTTGTTATGTGCGATAATACTCAATCTCCTATAGATTATTCTTACCTTTATCTTCTTTGTCTCCTAGATAACCTTTCTTCCAAAGAACCAATAAAATTAGCGCGATAGTTGCGCAGCAACCAATCACAATTCCAGCTATAGCTCCAGTAGCGAGTCCTCCTCCTGTACTGACGTCAAAGTCTGCAAGAAGGGGGGATAACTAGGTTATACATGCTCTTAAAGTGAGAACAATGAAAAAGGAACAGATGATAGAAAGAATGTACTAACTTGGTGTTATTGTGATACCGGATATAAGAGGTCCATATACACCCCGATCTGGAATTGCAGTAGTCCCTTTCCCTGCCCAGTACAAGTGAATCTCTAGGGTGCTACCATTAACCATAACATYAYTGACGTYTATGGAGATGCCCCTGCCAACACCATTAGCTTCTTCCATGATGTTGAAGTCCTTTCTCSTCAGAACCCCCTACATGAAAAACCAAATTAAGTTTGTATCTAATTATTCTCCAATTGAGATTTATACAATCTAAACAAAAACTGGCATGTCACTTACTTGGACAGATATATCAAAATAGCGTCTTCCCAGACTGCTAAATGTCATGTCATCAGAATAACTAATTTCAGCAAAGTGGAGCCTCACTTTATAACTTCCCTGCCGCAAACACAGTCCATAGTACCGGAGTGAAKTGGGAGAAAAGCGAGCTGTTCTATATACATCTCCACCTGTCACATTTTCTGATCTTGAAACAAATGGAGCATCATCGTTGCCCAAGAAAACCCCATTCGTGCTATAAGCCCATCTCTCGGGACTAGAATAGAAGTAAGATTGCTGGTTGGTCAAATCTTCTTCATACTCATTTCCGTCAAAGTCTGATCTGGGTCCACCGCAATTAATAAACAAAGAATGACCTGCATTGTAAGATTTATTTGTGAAGATCTACAAATGGATATAACAATTAACCTAGAGGGAGTGGTTAGTTGTTATTCTTACGGTTGGGGTTTCTGCTGCACATAAGTTTGTCTGTCAAACACCAAGCATCTCTATAAAATTAATTCACGTTAGGTCACATCACTGTGAATAATTCAAAAGAGTGTGTGTGTGTGTGTGTGTTTGTGTGTATAGGTTGGTGATAGAACATACGCGTTGCTTGCGGCTGAAGATGACATGGCTGAAACTAAATTCCTGTGGTAAAGGTACTAGTTAAGCGAACATAAAAAAATATACCTTGAATATAGTAAAGGTAGGATTGCAAACAACTTACAAGTTAGATGATTGACAGTTCTGTTGTGAAAATATACGTGTAAAATTGTTGTAAGACAAGTCACTGCAATAAAAATAGTGGCAATTTTTTTTAGCTCCAACTTCACAATATATACATATTAAAAGCAACTCTCACGATGGCCTAAATCCTAATGTAAGACACCACAGTGATAAAATCATCTCTATGATCATAGATCACCATTCCTGTAAACATGTAGCATAAAAATAATAATCAAGGGGAATCACTTACATCTTTACATTGGTAATTTTCAGAAATATCCATTGAGGAATCTCTCCGGATAGTGAGTTGTTATTCAGAAACCTACATTATAACACTCTATCTCAAATTTTACCAAGAAATACAGATATCCGAGGTATGTATGATAGATGTAACATCTTTCTAAGTAGTTGCATACATGGTGTCAAAGTTTAATGTCTGCAATGTACTGGGTATTGGACCGTTCAGCCTGTTGAAGCTCAGGTCTCTGCAAAAGAAATGGTTCAATTGAAGATGTCCTTAAGCTTAAATAAATTAAAAGCGAGGATCATGCAAAATCAACAAATATATAATATCACGTCAAAAAATCAGATAAAATTAGAGATTTGAAGTTGTTATAAACAAATTAACAAGAAACAGGGAAAAGCTCAGAAGATCAGTTAACTCCATCAAATGGAAGATATCATTGGAAACCTATAAACAGGGACAAAGGAACGTTTGCTATAAGAGACATGTTAAGAACACTTTAAAAGAAATGGATGACGATAAAATCAATAATTTGTGTCAAGTAAGGGGGAAAACCTTTGCCAGACATAGTACTAATACTATTGACTGTTTTGTATATGTTTAGTACTTCATTATTTCGTTTGACTATATACTGCTAAGTGCTAAATGTTATGAACCATTTAAGGTATGTTCTGATGGAAACGTATATCATGA